CCCTATCTTGTTCCTGATCATAAGGAGAACACTTGTAATTTTTGCCCATTGAGTATGATGCTGGCAGTGAGTTTGTTGTGTGTAGCCTTTATTATGTTTAGGTATGTTCTCATCACACTTTGCTGAGAGTTTTTATCATAATGGGGTGCTGGATTTTATCATATGCTTTTTTGCATATATTGATATGATCATGGGTTTTTATCCTTTATTTTGTTTATGTGGTGAATCATATTTATAGATGTATGAATATTGTACCAACATTGCATTCCTGGAATAAATTCCACTTGATCATGCTGCATGATCTTTTTAATGCATTACTGTATTTAGTTTGCCAATATTTTGTTCAAGATTTTAGTGTCAATGTTCAACAGGGGTACTGGCCTATAAATTTCTCTTTGCAGTGTCTATATCTGGTTTCGTAATTAGGATTATGCTGGCCTTGTAAAATGAGTTTGGGAGCCTTTCCTCCTCTTGAATTTTATGAAATAGTTTGTGAAGGAGAGGTGTTAGTTCTTGGAATGTTTGGTAAAATTCACCTATGAAGCCATTCAGTCCAGGGCTTTTGTTTGTTGGGAGTTTTTTTTAATCACAGCTTCAGTTTCACTGGATGTAATCTGTCTATTCAGACTCTCCGATTCTTCCTGATTTAGTTTTGAAAGATTGTATGTTTCTAGGAGTTTATTCATTTCGTCCAGGTTGTACAGTTTGTTGGCATATAACTGTAATATTTTCTTACAATCCTTTGTATTTCTTTGGTGTCAGCTGTTATTTCTTCTATTTCATTTCTGATTTTATTTAATTGGGTCCTTTCTCTTCTTTTTCTTGATGAGTCTGGTTAAAGGTTTGTCAGTCTTGTATATCTTTTCCAAGAACGAGCTTGTGGATGGTGTCATTGCTCTTTTGTATCATTTTTTAGACTCTATTTTGTTTGTTTTTTCTCTGATCTTTATTATTTCCTTCCTACTACTTACTTTGGACTTTGTTGTTCTTTTTCAGGTTCCTTTACATGTAAAGTTAGATTGTTTTTGAGCCTTCTCTTGTTTTTTTGAGATAGGCCTGTAAGGCCATGAATTTACCTCTTAAGATTGCTTTCCCATTGTCCCACAGATTTGGGACAGTTAGGTCCTCATTTTCATTTGTTTCAAGGTATCTTTTGATTTCTTCCTTGATCTTGTTGTTGATCCAATCATTGCTGAATAATATATTATTTACCCTTCATGTCATTATGTGTTTGTCAGTGTTCTTCTTGTGATTAATTTCTAGTTCATTACATTGTGGTCAGAGAAGATGCTTGATATGATTTCAGTCTTCTTAAATTTCTTGAGACGTGTTTTGTGTCCTAACATGTGGTCTATCTTAGAATATGTTTGATGTCCACTTGCAAAGTATATTCTGCTGTTTTGGGGTGAAATGCTCTGAATATATCAATTAAATCTGTTTGATCTTGTGTGTTGTTTAATGCTGCTGTCTTCTTGTTGACTTTCTGTCTGGAAGATCTACCCATTGAAGTCAATGGGATATTAAAATCCCCAACTATGACTGTATTTCTGTCAGTCTCTCCCTTTATGTTCATCAAGATTTGCTTCACATATTTAGGTGCTCCTATATTGGGTGCGTAAATGTTTACTAGGGTTGTATCCTCTTATTAGATTGTTCCCTTTAACATTGTGTAGTGTCCTTCTTCATCTCTTACTACAGCCTTGGTTTTGAAGTCTATTTTGTTGGATGTAAGTACTGCTACCCCAGCTTTTTTTCCCCTTTCCATTTGCGTGAAATGCCCTTTTCTATCTTTTTACTTTTAGTCTGTATGTAACTTTCAGTCTGAGATGGGTCTCTTGGAGGCAGTATATATATATGTCTTATTTTCTTATCCATTCAGCTACCCTATATCTTTTGGTTGTAGCATTTATGCCATTTACACTTAAGGTGATTATTGATAGACACATATTTAATGTCATTTAATTGTTAGACTATTTTCTCTTTTTTTCTTTCTATTTTTCTTCTTCTCTTTAAAGCAAGCCTTTTTACATTTGTTGCAGCACTTGTTTGGTTTTAATAAACTCCTTTAGCTATTTCTTGTCTTAGAAGCATGTTATTTCTCCTTTGACTTGAAATGATTTTACCCAGTTTTGCTTGGTAAAGTAGCATTGGTTGTAGGTCCTTGATTTTCATCACCTTGAATATTTCACACCACTCCCTTCTGGCCTGAAATGTTTCTGTGGAGTAACCTGATGACAGTCTAATTGATGCTCTCTTGTATGTGACTATCTGCTTTTCTTTTGCAGCTTTTAGGATTCTCTCCTTGTCTTTAAGCCTTGTCATTTTAATTATGATGTGTCTCTGTATAGGCCTCTTTGGGTCAAACTTGTTGGAGACTCTGAGCTTCCTGGACTTGTGTGTCTTTTTCCTTCACCAGATTAGGGAATTTTTCAGCCATTATTTCTTCAAATAGGTTTTAAATGAATATCCAGCTGACCTGACATCAATTTTTGAAAAGACCATCTTTTTCTCGTTGTCAAAGAGGCAATTTTCTTAAATCAGCCTGAGATTCACCTGCTTAAAATCCTTCAGTGGTTTCCCATTGCTTTTAGAATAAATACACACCTATTACCATGGCTTCTTGGCTGGCATCTGCTTGTTTCTCTGCTTCCATCTCACTGTCCCCTTTTCTCCTTTCCACTGTGGACACCCTGGCCTCCTTACTGTTCCTTGGTCATCAAATACTTTATTGTGTCAGGCCCCTGCTTGTGGGGTTTCTTCTGCCCAGAGTGCTCGTTCTGCATATCTCAGCCTGCATCACTCTTCATGTTACTCAAATGTCTACTGAAATGTCCTTTGGAAGTACCACTACACACTCCATATAACATTAAGAATTAATAATATGTAAAAGTCCTTTGAACATGTATGACATTACTAATGATCTTTCTCCCCTGTGGTATTGTGATTCCCTCAGGTAAAGGATTGTGTCCTATTTTCCTTTCGTAGATCTTATTTACAACATAATACATTAGAACACAAATCAAGCCCTAAGTATAAAGCATATGATAATTCATTATTTTCCCTATTTTGTCTATATTTGCCACAGATAATTCAGATCCTGATATAAATATTTAATGATTTGATAAGCTGTGGTGGAACATCAACTCTTTGTACTTTTAAAAAAGAGAGTAGTATACAGCATTATAGTTTGAAAGTTACAAACGTGCTTTAACTGTTTTACATGGAAACAATGCATAGGCTAAGTAAGCCCAAATGAATTTTATCTAGGGCTAAAGAGTTTGCACATTTTTCAGTGATAATACATATCTCATCTAGCAGTAACACTGATTCCATTTACATTTTTAAAGTTACATTTTTTTTCTAAGCATTCTACAGTCAATGATTCTCATTGACCTGGTTCCTATTATTTGGAGCTATTTGGGGGACTACGTGCATATGTAAATTTGGATTTGGAGGCAAGAGCTAGACCAAACTTTCATTTATTTGTTCATTTTTCATCCAAGGCATTTAATTCCCTTATTGATTACATTTGTTTTCCTTTTCCTAAAGCCTTAAGCTAATGCCTGACATACATAATTCTTTTATTAATTGTAGAGTGTCATAAACAGGGCAGAAAGAGACTTTTTAAGATTACCTTGTGCCCTGGCTGGCATAGCTCAGTGGATTGAGCACGGGTTGCGAACAAAGTATTGCAGGTTCAATTCCCAGTCAGGGCACATGCCTGGGTTGCAGGCCATGGCCCCCAGCAACCGCACATTGATGTTTCTCTCTCTTTCTCCCTCCCTTCCCTCTCTAAAAATAAATAAATAATTTTTTTTTTAAAGAGTACCTTGCCTAGCAATAAAATAGATTTAGTGGGTCAATTGACAATATTGGAATACAGTTGATAGGCTAAAGCATTGTCAATGACACATTTCCTGAAGTTGATAACCGTGCTATGTAAGAGAATATCCTTCTTCTTAGAAAAACACACTGAAGTATTTAGGAATCAAAGTGCCATAGTGATGATTTTACTTACTCCCAAATGGTTCGGGAAAAATCCTGTGTGTGTGCATACACACGCACAGAAAGAAAGAGCAAGCATGTGTAGGGGCCTGCAACCCAGGCATGTGCCCTGACTGGGAATCAAACCACAACCCAGCCCCCATGTTAACACTTAACATGTTTTAACATAGCCCCCGATCTAATGTAGCCCCCGAAAAAGCTCCAAATAATAGGAACCAGGTCAATGAGAATTGTTAACTGTAGAATGCTTAGAAAAAAATGTAACTTTAAAAATTTAAATGCAATCAATATTACTGCTAGATAGATGAGATATATAATGTCACTGAAAAATGTGTAAATTCTTTAGCCCTAGATAAAATTCATTTGGGCTAACTTAGCCTATGCATTGTTTCCATGTAAAACAGTTAAAACGCTTTTAAAAGTTTCAAACTTATACATGGGTTTGCAGGCTGGTGCTCAATCCACTGAGCCACACCAGCCAGGGCACATGGGGCAAAGTTTTAACAACAGGTGGATCTGGTAATGTGTGTTTTAATGTCCTTCATATTATTCCTGTAGCTTTTTTATAAATGTGAAATTATTTACACAAAAACATTGTTTTTAAATTGTCTCAGCCAGCCCTCTCAGGAAAACCCTTCAGTCCTCATGACAGAGTAACTTTCCCTAGTCACCCTGAGAGTTAGAGACAGAACTGACTCCTGCTCCTGTGTGCTCTGTGGCACTGCGCTGCCTCCTTCTAGCTAATGATCGTTGAGTTCTAGCCCAACACAGGGGCCGTAATCCCACTGCTTGCTTACATAGGACACAGCCAAGCTTTCATATTCATGATGTAGCTTTGTGTTTCTTTTAAAAATATTTTTGCCATTACTGGTCAGTTGTACAACCTTCAGTGCCGCTATTACATGGACATCTTGTTATCACATACCCTATTAATTAAAACAAGACATCTCTACATGTTTTAACAAACTGTGGTTTTTTTTTCCATTTCTTGATAGCTACTGCTTCTTGGGATACATTTCTTATGCTATGGAATTTCAGGCCACAAACTAGAGCTTTCAGATACGTGGGTCACAAGGATGTTGTAACCAGCGTGCAGTTTTCTCCACTTGGAAACTTACTGGCATCTGCTTCACGAGACAGAACTGTTAGACTCTGGACTCCTGATAAGTAAGAAACAAATTCCTGGTATGCTCTGGATTTTGAAATGGGGAGAAAAATGGGAGTCTGGCTGCTCCTGATGTACTTCTCAGGAAGACCCAGACACCCCAGTTACCTGAACTACATTTAGTCTGAGTCACTCACCAGGTGTCAACTATTTTAAAGCACTTTTTTCTCATCTGTAACTCATAATTATGTCTTTTATTTCTAACCATGGAAATATGCTTAACGTGTTTTAAGTTATTGCGCAGGAGTGATAGTTATCAATCCCGTAGTAAATCCAATGTAAGCTTTAGACTGTCTACCCAGTGAGATATACATTGACATGTGTAACCAAAAGTTGTACAGTTCATTAATCTCTTAAAGCCCATTCACGGATCTTCAGGGACCTTTGGGTCCCCATTAAAAACCCCCGTGCCAGAACTATTCTTTGAGGCATATCATTCATTATTAGGCCCCAGAACATTCTTGTTAAAGAAAATTTCTGACAAAAGTGTGAATTGTTGTATTTGTTGAAAGGTCCTATTCCATTATAACAGATCTTTCTTTAAGACGCTTTTCAAACCCTAGTTGATAGTCCATCTATCTTAAGCAATTATTGAGCTGTGAATTTATTTGAAGTTTTTAAACTCTTAATGGTGTAGTTTTTAAAACATACTTGAAAAGAGAATGAATGGCACAAAGATTCCCCCATCCCACGTGCACTGAACAGACTCCGTAGTTATCATCACTCTTATCAGTCTTGTTTCATCTATTCCCCCTCCTTTTTCGCTGTAGTATTTTTAGAACAAGTCCCACACATTATATCATTTCCCCCTGTAAATACTTCAGGTAATAAGAATTTGAGTGTTTTCTATGACTCTGTTGTGTCAGGATTTGATTGGTCTCGTGTGACTGAACAGGCGCTCCCAGTGAAGGGAAGTTCACCGGGCATTGCCCCGCCACCACCCAAGAGAAACTCTATGCTGAGAAATCTGGATATGACCCTGATGGTAGCACAGAGTATTGAAGTGACGTGTCATAATGACCCTGTGGATGATAATATAGAGGAGAATTGTAAGGGAGAGAGACTAGTGTCAAGTTTAAAAGGGAAAGCATTTTCTAAAATCCTTAATTTTGGGACTTTAGGACCAGCACCACACAGCCTTAGTCACCCATCTCTAATTCAAGAAAACCTCAGTGAACAAACTGTACAGGGATACCTGCACTAAAAGCACACTGCATCATTAACCTGCACCAGCTAATCTAAATACAGCAATTAAGCTTGTGTAGATGTCTCTTGTTCCTCTTTTTAAATCATATAGTAGGGCCAGGGCAATAGTGGATCATGGCAATGGGAAGGAAACTCATGTATCAGGTTCTCTGTTGCTGTGTAACAATCTTTGAAACAGAGTACCGATACGGTAACTACCATTTCTCACAATTTTGTGCATTGTTTGGCTGATTCTTCTGCCCCATTTGGTGTTGGCTATCACTGATGCAACTTCCTTAAGCTGACAGCAAGGCTGATGGGTCTAAAACCTATTTCATATGCTTAAGGCTTTGGTGCTGGCTGTCAGCTGGGGCAGCTTGGTACTCTATGTGCCATCCCTCCAGCAGGACAGGGACTTCTGTACAGCATAGCAGCGGGTTCTGGGATAGTAAAAGCAGAAGCTGCTGGATATTTTAAGGGCTAGGCCTGAAACTTGCACAGTGTCACTTCTGCTCCCATTCTGTGGGTCAAAGTAATTCACACCAGCAGCCCAGATTCAAGGGAGGAAAAATTGGCAGATTGCACCTCCTGGGGGAAGGAGTGGCATTGTGTGTACAGGGATGAGAGGAACTGTGGGCAGTTAGATTTTCTGACAGACACCTCAGCAGGTGACTGGAAGGCTAAGAAAGAATAGTGGAAGCAGGTCTGGCAGGGATTGTGTCATGGGGGTTAGTCAAGAGGATTCGAGCAGAAAGGACAGGTAAACACATCGGGGGCGGAGTCTACATTAGGGTGGGGTAAGGAACTAGGCGCCAGTTAAACACTGACACAGCAAACACTAGGAACTCCTATCCTGTTTTTTCCCCTCTGTGTGTGTGGTTTTTTTACACATGCTTCCTGTTGAGACCGGATCCAGTGGGTAGGCCAGCCACTAGCTCAGAGGAGGGCCTTTTAGCAGGAAGGCCAGCTGGACAGCCTGCTGGAGTGCGCAGTGTAGAACTGAAGAGCAGGGCAGATTTTGACGATACTGACTGTCTCTTGGCTTCCTGGTGATAGCAGACACCAATGCTTTTCTTTGCTTTCTCTAAGCTGTATACCAGAATTCAGGACAAACTCTACTCTGACATCTACTCAGGACTTTCCCTTGAAACCTCACAGAACTAGTCCCCAAATGCTTCCTCCTATGTTTTTAAATATTGATTTTAGTTATTCTTGGTGTAATACCACATCAGGTAATGATGGGTGATGAAGATTTATGACAGTCACCTTAGCCTTCTCTAGGCCACTGAAAGGGTAAGCTAGGATAGACCTAAGAACCTTTAAGTATTACCTCTTCCCAGTAGCATTCAACCAAATGCATTGAGTTCATTTTATATGGCTGACATTATGCTAGATTTTGGTCTTATAGCAATAAATAAATCATCATTACTGTCCTCAAAAAAGTTACTCTTTAATAGGAGAGAAACAGGTCAATTTTTTTAAGTACTGTGTAATAAAAATAAGCAAAACAGATGTAGTAGACAGGGAGCAGTTCAGCCTGTCTAGGCTGGTGAAGGAGGTCTGGGCCTGGGGGAAGTAGTTCAGACTGAGAAAGTCAGTATAAAGCCAGAGATGTATCTGAAGCACCCTGAGTGTTCTCAGAGTACATAGTTCAGCATAAGTGGCAGGACGCCCTGCGGCAGAGCATGTTTGTGGTGCCGTCTGTTGGAGGACATCCAGTGACACGTTTACACTGGACTCTACATGCTTTGGTCACACATCTAACAAGGCATTAAGCACAGTATGTAGGTGACTAGAAGGGGATAAAAGATTAGAGCAGGGAGACCAGCTAAGAGGCTTTTGCAATAATCTAGGTGAAAGGTATTGAGGATATCTACCTTAATGCAAGTGTAGCTGGGTTAGAAAGAAGTGATAGCAATATCATCGTCACTCAGTAGGTGTGTTGACCTATTGAGTGGGAAGAGAGGCAGGAGGAGTGGCTGAGTGTGACTTCCAGACTTCTGCAAATTCTGTTGCCTGATCTTTTTTCAAACAGTTATATTGATTTTCCTTGTAAGATATCACCTGTATAGATATGACTTTCTGAGCAGAAAAATTGCTAAGTGTGGCCATAGTATAGAGAGAGTGCTTTGGGAACTTGGGAACGCCAACCCAAAGTAGTGTTTCCCAAGTGTCACCTTTTAACTCCAGCTGTATCTACTTGCCTGCCCCTAATTATTTAACACTTTTTTCGACAGCTTCTTTAGATGCCACATATTATTTTCCCCATCTGTTTTTTCTATTCTCTTTCTCCCATTCTAGCCACGAAAGCATTTCATCTGAAATTTCAAGGTGTTGAGAACTAAAGTACTATGTTGTTACCATTTATCCTTTGTTTTGCTTGTGAGTGTAAGATTGGGCCTAGTGAGCAGAGCCTTACTGTACCCTGGGGGTCTCAGTTCTCATTACTTACAGGTGGAAATAGGAAAGTCAAGATCACCTAGAGACATTCTGTATAGAGGCAAATGGCTCAGGGGACATTTCCTCCGTCCCAACCCAGACTTCCAGTCCATACAACTTGCAGGTGAATCCAGTTCAAAAACATTGCCTTGGAACTATTCATTTAATCAATCTTAGCTTTTCTAGGTTGCAGGTTCTTTAAACTATACATTGCTATTTCTAGCAGAGCAACAGGAACTTAAAATGCACGGTAGAGATGTGTTTGAAGTATTATTTCCCTAGCTTCCAATTAGAACATAAACAGCAAATGCATTTCACAGTGAGGACTACCAGGATCTTATTAAGTATCAGTTGTGACTTTGATGAAACCAGCTTGAAGCAGTATTGATGAAGAGTACAATACAACACAATGTTTTCACACTTTTGTTAGTTTTACAAGAGTTAAGCTGTTTTTTATTCTTTTTAAAAAATATTTTATTTATTATTTTTAGACAGGGAAAGTGAGAGAGAAAGGAAGAGAAAGATCAATGTGTGGTTGCCTCTCACACACCCCCTAATGGTAACCTGGCCCACAACCCAGGCATGTGCCCTGACTAGGAATCAAACCAATGACCCTTAGGTTCTCAGGCCAGCACTCAATCCACTGAGCCACAACAGCCAGGACAAGTTAAGCTGTTTTATATGTTTCAGAGTCTGTATGCTGATTAGCTGTTAAATCAAATGTTACAAATATTACAATGTTATAAATAACAAATGTTATAAATAATAAATGTTTATTTCCAGGAGAGGAAAATCCTCTGAATTTAAAGCTCATACAGCTCCAGTTCGAAGTGTGGACTTTTCAGCTGATGGCCAGTTTCTAGCTACAGCTTCTGAAGACAAATCCATCAAAATATGGAACATGTATCGTCAGCGCTTCTTATATTCCTTGTACCGACATACACACTGGGTACGCTGTGCCAAGTAAGTACAAAGAGTTTCATAATGAGAGTTTTACATTTTTCCCCTGCTGTAGTCTATTTGTCCTCCGACTCTCAGAAAAGGACTTTGTTCATCTTTCCATTCATTCATTCATTCATTCATTCAGCAAACATTTACTGTGTGCCTGGCGACACAACTTTGATGAGAACAATGGTAAACAAAATAGTCAAAATCCCTGCTCTCGTGAAGCTTACATTCTAGAGAAGGGAGTAAGGCAATAAACAAATAGGAAAATGGATATGGTAGGTCAGAGGGTTGTAAGTTTTCAGGAAAAAAACAGCTGGATTAGAAGGGGAGCTGCAATTTTAAATAGTTTGTTAAGCAAGCTTTACAAAGAGGGTGGCCTTTGAGCAGAGGCCTAAAGGGAAGTAGTGAGGCTTGAAGATACTTGGGAAGGGAGTTTCGTACGGGAAGCAAGTGTGAAAGCCCCGAGGCTAGCGCCTGGTGGCTGATCAAGGAAAGTGAGGAGGCTGGTGGGAGACAGAGCTCAGGGAGGGAAGGGGGGACACCCACAGGGAGGTCGGGCCAGGTCAGGAGCAGCTCTGATGTACACTGGACCACGTGCCTTTTCTAACTTACACTCTGATGGGATCACTTGGAGTGCTGCATGAAGACAAAACTGTCAGAAGTCAGGGATGAAGCAGGGAGGTGTTGGGAGTCTGCTGCAGGAGTTCCCATCCTGGCTTGGACTGCCCGGGGTGGGGGCACTGGAGATTTTGAGAAGTGGCTGGATTCTAGATGTAGTAGTTTAAAGTTACACCTGACAGTACTTGATATCACATTGGGTGTGACAGAGAGGAACCAAGAATGACTCCACAACGCTGGTAACATTCTGCTGGGAAAAGTGCTTCATAGCACTATGAACACCTGCTTCATAGGTGTTAACAACTGTCAGCTAACAGCCATGGCGCCCTTTTTATTCCCAAGACACGCTACCAACATGCTGCCAGTGCGTATCTCATTCCTCCTCGGCACTGCCCTGGTAGGGCTGTTGTTTTATTGTCTCCACTGTGCAGATGAGGAGACTGAGATTCAGAGTTCAAGTTAAACTTGTGCAGATGAAGTAACAGAATCAGAAAGAAACACTTGTTCTCCTCTCAAGGTGGTCACTTGGCTGACTGTTTAATAAGTTTGGAGTGGGAAGGGAAAGAACTAGCACCAGGGACTCCAGCACTCTCAGGTCCCTCACTAGGCCTCTCTACATGCTGGCTCCATTCTTTCAAACACTCTGGTACTGAGGTCACTATCAGCTCTATGCCGAAGTCCTCACAGCTTTGTGACCAGACTTCTCTTAGCTTTTCCTAGCTCCAGTTAGAACACAATGTACGAGGGGATGACTCTCAGCTCAGACCCTATGCCCCTCTCTTTGCCAGGCAGTGAGACACTGTGGTTGTTTCAGTTCAGACACCTGACCAAGACCAGTTAACCTGACCAAGGAGGCGGGGTCATACCAGTCACAGGTTCTGGTGGTGGAGGGAGAGGACAGTTCTCACTAGAAGTGGGCTGGTACAGACATGGTCACTGGGCAAAAACAAACCTGAGCCCTGTAGTCTCTTGGTTTTGTGCCCCCTGTATGAAACTACATGTGAGGTGGCTGCAGCTGAGAAGTGATAGAAGGGGAGTGTGAGCCCAGCTCTGCCTGTCTTGCCTTATAACCCACACTCTTAACCCTTGTTATGCTCCCTTAGTGGGGCATTATGGCTTAGGGGTTGTTGATTATAATCTACGGTAATGGGTCTGAGAAAAATAAAAAAGATGAACAGAAGGCCGTACTTTTAGACAGAAGTTTTTTCCTTCTAAAGATTTCAGCCTATTTTGGCTTTGGTCATCTCATTACTTTTTCTATATATGCCACATAGCAGTGGGGTGAAGAACATGGACCTGGAACCTAAATATGTAGGTAAAAATCCTAGTCGCACTGCTTAACCGTCTGTGTGACCTTTGGAAGAGTTACCTAAATTTTCAGTGTTTCAGTTTTCTTACCTGTAAAGTTAGAATGATGATAATAGGACTTCTGGCAAGATGGAGGAATAGGTGGACGCACCATACCTCCTCGCACAACCAAGATTAGAACAATAAATTACAGTCAGTATAACACAGAACTGATAGAGGATTTATCTGAATGGAAGTCGGACAGCCAAGAAGTTGAAGTAGACCCGTACATCCAGACGGGTAGGAGACGACGAGCCGAGCGGACGCAGGGCTGGCGCGGGTCGGCGGCGCACGGAGGTTAGGGAAAGTTTGGCGCGGAACCGGCATGACAGCCATCTGGGGCGCAAGAATGCAGCAGTGATCCCTGAGTACGCAAGCTGCGGCTGCCGGACCCAGTGGGGCAGCGATTGTGGACCAGGGCAGAGCTCGCAGCCCAGGAGCCTGGGGAAGGGTCTGGGCCCAGGAGAACTGAACTGCCGCCATTGTTCCCCCCCCGCCCCCGCCCCCACATATAACATCACAATCTAGCGACTGGGGCGCCCAGCCCCGGTGAACACCTAAGGCTCCGCCCCCCACCGTAACAAGAGCGACCAGACCGGAAAAAAAAAAAAGTAGGAGAGACAGGGAAAGACATAAGACATGTGTACAACAGAGCAGATCAGTCCCCCAGGACTCATCCTTTTGAGCGACCAAGAAATAGCCAATCTATCAGATGCACAGTTCAAAACGCTGGTGATCAGAAAGCTCACGGAATTGGTTGATTTTGGGTGCAATTTAGATGAAAGGATGCAGGTTACCATAAAAGAGATGCAGGAAGATACGCGGAGGAGAGCCAATAGAGACAGGGAGGAATCTGAGTCTCAAAACAATACAGTGGACCAGAAGGAAGATAGAATCAATCAAGCAGGAAAGCATGATGAAATAAGAATTCAAAAAATTGAGGAGAGCCTTGGGAGCATCCAGGACACCTTTAAACATTCCAACATTCGAATTATAGGGGTACCAGAAGGGGAGGAGCAACAAGTGGAAAAGTTATTTGAACAAATAATAAAGGAGAACTTCCCCAATCTGGCAAAGGGAACAGTCTTCCAAGAAATCCAAGAAGCTCAGAGAGCCCCAAAGAAGTTGGACCCAAGAAGAAACACACCAAGGTACATCATAATTACATTAGCCAAGGTAAAAACGAAGGAGAGAATCCTAGAAGCAGCAAGAGATAAGGGGATAGTAACCTACAAAGGAGTTCCCATCAGACTGTCAGCTGCTTTCTCCAAAGAGACCTTACAGGCAAGAAGGGGCTGGAAAGAAATATTCCCAGTCATGAAAGACAAGGACCTACATCCCAGATTGCTCTATCCAGCAAAGCTCTCATTTAGAATGGAAGGGAAGATAAAGTGCTTTTCAGATAAGGTCAAATTAAAGGAGTTCATCATCACCAAGCCCTTATTTTATGAAATGCTAAAGGGACTTATCTAAGAAAAGAAGATAAAGAAAAAGACATGTATAGTAAAAGGACAGCAAACTCACAATTATTAACAACCACACCTAAAGCAAAACCAAAAGAAACTAAGTAAACAACTAGAACAGAAACAGAACCACAGAAATGGAGGGCACATGGAGGGCTAGCAGTAGGGGGCTGGGAGGAGGGGAGGGGGGAAAAAGGTATAGAGAATAAGTAGCATAGAATGTAGGTTGAAAATAGATAGGGGGAGGGCAAGAATAGTACAGGAAAGGTAGAAGCTAAAGAACTCATAAGAATGACACATGGACATGAACTAAAGGGGGGGAACGTGGGTGGGAGAAGGGGGTACAGGGTGGAGGGGAGGGAAGGGGGGAAATGGGACAAATGTAATAGCATAATCAATAAAATATATTAAAAAAAGAAAAAATAAAACTTACTAAAAAAAAAAGAATGATGATAATAGTTACCTGCCACATAGGTTTTCATGGTAGTTAATTAAATGAATAATATATAAAGAGCATGTACATAGTAATCACTATGTTCAATCCTAACTATCCTCTTCCTCGTCATCATTGAACATATTTGTATTTATTTTTTAAGACACTTTGTTATTAGAGTTGCTAGTTTGTTTTCCACCTAAGGAGGTCCCAAGAGGCTGGTCAAATCAGTTATTTGTTTTATAATAATAAATACATTGTTATTTATGTATCAATAGTAAGAAGAGGAGGCAGAGCTCTATCATCTACTAGGTCAAGCCCTGAGAACAGATGGGTGGCTGGGCCATGTACTGGGAAGAGTTATTTAACTCCCACTGTATGTCAGTTATGAGTATGTTTGGAAAAGAGACTGATTTTTATTGTCTTCATCAGAGAGTTCAACATAAACAAAAACATTGCATGTTGGTTTAACTAATCAAGACAGAATGTTTCCTGAACACTCTGACTAATAATATGTAAATAGCTGCTATTTATCCAGTTTGTCTTACCTGCCTCTATATCTTTCCAGGAAGAATTTAAGGTGGTTTATAATTGTCATCCCTGTATATATATCAGTCTCACCTGGAGACATGTCACCTTGGTTAGCACAAACTGGGCATATGTTTAACCTGTTTCCTGCAGCTGTGGTGTTAATGGAATGATAGTGACTGACGTGTTTTCATTTTTTAGCAAAAAGGAATCCTATCAAGTTGTTCAGATAAGAGAAAATTTTTCCTGGTATAAATTTTAGAAGGCACTTTATTTCTTGCTCTTATATTGAATCATCTGTATATAATATAAATGTAAAGAAAAGATAACAATAAAAACAGAAGAATTTTGGAAAGGTTGAAAGGTCACCAATGAAGTAAAATTTTAGTCTTCTAAGTATTCCTTCAGTAAGCATAGTTCCTCTTTGCCATCTACCTGTGTTAGGTGAGTGTAGGGGTGGGGGCTCTGCCTGCAGGGCCTCCCCCAACCGGGTGCCACGGATGAGAATAAGTCTACCAAGATGTGATCTACTTGGGGAGGAAAGGTGGCCAATCTCTCAAAGGAGAAAAGCCAGGAGCCTTTTCCTCAATGGGCTTTTATTGGGTTCAGTTTGTACAGGAATATAG